TTTTTCGTTTATTTTATAGTAAAAATATTTTTTCTTCTTTTCGTACGAAATTTCATTTACTCCCAAATTCAAAATGGTCATTTTTTGCATCTACAGCTGCGACTGTTTTAGTAGGTTGTTTTTTGGCCATAGGCACCATTATGCTTCTATTCCTTGTGGTGTTATCCTTCTTTTCTGAATTTCTCAATACTTAAAAATAAATTGTCTATTTTTAATTAAAAATTTATTTTAAATTAATTATTATTTTTTTATTTTAATCTTATTATTGTTTCTTAAATCAATTATTCACTTTGTCATTAAATTTTTCTCTTTATTTTTATTATTATTAAGGATTGTAAAGGCATATTAATAAATTGTCTATAAACTCTTAATATATAAAAAAATTTCCAAAAAATGACAATCATTTTAAGAGAGATACAGTATGTTCTACTGAAATGAATATATGATATCAACCAGGCCTAAAAAAAAGAACGCTTCTAATATTAACATTTTGAATGTCTTAATATAATAAAATCAAATCAAATTATAAATTAGAACAAATCAACGTAAAGTTAAATGAATAGAATGAACATGACAATATTAGAAATTAGCACCTAATTTAATGATATTTGCCTTCCATGTACGTTAACCATCAAACTAATGAACAATGACATTTTTTTTATGTTAGTGTCAAAGATAACAAAGATAAAGTGTTCACGACTTAAATAATATAATAATAATTTTTTAAATAAAAGTTAAAGATTTTTAATTTTATTATATGGTATACAAGTGAAATGTAAATTAAATAATAAAAAAGTATTATCTTTTATTGTGTAACTCAAAATAAAAAAATAATATAAATAAATTTATTACTATTGATTATTATTATTATTATTATTATTATTATTTTGGATTAGTTTTTATACATGCTAAGATTAATTTTTTTGAGTGACTTTACGAGTATATTTTTCATATCAATCAGGTATATTAAAAAAATTAATTTTCTTAAATTTTAACCCCAAAAGTTGAACAATATATTTAATTTATAAAATAACACTTATTTATTAATAAATTTAATTCTTAAAGTTTTTAGACTATCATTAATACCAAAAGAAAAACTTAGTATTATTATTATTAAAATTACAAATCTTTTTAGTGTATTATATAAATTCAAAATAATTTATACGTTAATTGCTCTAATATTGTTATAAAAGAATGTTTTATCTCAACAAAAATTAATAGAACTACCCGCACCTTGCAGCCCAAGTCTGTTTGTGAACGTGCATCTCCTAATGCAAGAGTTGGATTCCATTCCCCATTCTCCCAATTATAAACCTATTAAAAAAAATTAATAGAAAGTCTCATTTCATTGACATGATGGATGATATAATAGAATGTTTAATTT